GGATGGCTCAGTCAGTTAAGAGTCTGACTCTTGATTTTGGTTCAGGTCGTGATCTCATGGTTCATAGGTTCAAGACCCGCATCAGGCTCCGTGCAGAGCTGCTTGGAATTCTCTCTCTCTCTCTCTCTCTCTCTCTCTCTGCCCCTTCCCCTCCCTCCCTCTCTGTCTGTCTCTCTCTCTCTCTTTCAAAATAAATAAATAAACTTAAAAAAAAATACCACCAGCATTTTTCGGAGAGCTAGAACAGTCCTAAAATTTATGCAACCACAAAATGTATGGAACCACAAAAGACCCTGAATAGCCAAAGCAATCCTGAAAAAACAAAACTGGAGGCATCGATTCCAGATTTCAAGCTATATTACAAAGCTGTAGTCATCGAGAGAGTACAGTCCTGGCACAAAAATAGACATGTAGATGAATGGAACAAAATAGAAAATCCAGAAATGGACCCATGGCTATATGGTCAACTAATCTTGGACAAAGCAGGGAAGAATATCCAATGGAAAAAGACAGTCTCTTCAACAAATGGTGTTGAGAAAACTGGACGGCGACATGCAGAAGAATGAAACTAGACCACTTTCTTACACCATACATGCAAATAAATTCAAAATGGATGAAAGACCTAAATGTGAGACAGGAAACCATCAAAATCCTAGAGGAGGACACAGGCAGCAACCTCTTTGACGTTGGCCACAGCAACTTCTTACCAGACACATCCCCAAAGGCAAGGGAAACAAAAGCAAACTGTTGGGACTTCATCAAGATAAAAAGCCTCTGCACAGCAAGGAAACAATCAACAAAACTAAAAGGCAGCCTATGGAATGGGAGAAGATATTTGGGAATGACATAACAGATAGGGGGTTAGCATCAAAAATCTATAAAGAACTTACCAAACTTAACACCCAAAAAACAAATAACTTAGTTGAGAAATGGGCAGAAGGGGCGCTTAAGCATCTAACTCTTGATTTCGGTTCAGGTCGTGATCACACAGTTTGTGGGTTCAAGCCCTGCATCAAAGCCTGCTTGGGATTCTTTCCCTCTCCCTCTCTCTGCCCTTCCCCCACTCGTGCACATGCTCTCTCTCAAAATAAATAAATAAACTTAAAAGAAAAAAAAAATGGGCAGAAGACATGAATAGACACTTTTCCAAAGAAGACATCCAGATGGCTAGCAGACACATGAAAAGATGCCCAACATCACTTATCATCAGGAAAATACAAATCAGAACCATAATGAGATTACCACCTCACACCTGTCAGAATGGCTAAAATTAACAACATAGGAAAGAGTAAGTGTTGGTGAGGATGGAGAGAAAAGGGGAACCCTCTTGCGCTGTTGGTGGGAATGCAAACTGGTGCAGCCACTCTTGAGAGCAATATGGAGGTGCCTCAAGAAACTAAAGCTAGAACTACCCTACAATCCAGCAATTGCACTATTAGGTATCCACCCAAAGGATACAAAAATACAGATTTGAAGAGAAACACGCACCCCAGTGTTTACAGCAGCATTATCAACAATAGCCAAACTATGGAGAGAGCCCAAATATCCATTGACTGAAGAATAGATAAAGAAGATGTGTGTGTGTGTGCACGCGCATGCGAGTGTGTAACGGAATATCACTCGGCCATCAAAAACACTGTAATCTTGCCATTTGCAATGATGTGGATGGAGCTAGAATATATTATGCTAAGCGAAATAGGTCAATCAAAAAAGACATACGGTGTAATTTCACTCATGTGAAATTTAAGAAAGAAAACAGATGAACATAGCGGAAGGGAAGGAAAAATAAGAACAGGGAGGCAAACCATAAGAGACTCCTAAATACATAGAACAAACCGAGGGTTGCTGGAGGAAAGGTAGATGGGGGATGGGCTAACTGGGTGATGGGTACTAAAGAGGGCACTTGTGATGAGCACTGTGTGTTGTATATAAGTGATGAATCACTGAATTCTCCTGAAACCAGTACTACACTGCATGTTAACTAAAATTTAGATTTAAAAAATATATGTTAAAAAAAAAAAAGAAAATTCCAAAGAATGCACATTGACTATGTTTCTTATTGTTTAACCCTGAATAATTAAATAATTTGTGTTTTGGTTTCCATATCTGTAAAATGGAGATAATATTTACCATAGAGAGTTATTTTAAAGGTTAAAATATAGCTTGTAGCTTATAAAGTCACAAGTATAGTGTTTTGACTTTAGAAAGAGCTCAAAAAAAATTTAGCAATATATTTCATTATTACAGTCCAGCTGTCATCCAAAATAATCGGTTTAGATAAATAGAATTAATTAGATAAATAGAGGTTCCGTGACCTATTTACCTTTTTCTGTATAAGACATAGAAAGTATTAGGAGGGTAAAGAAAAACCTGAGGATTTTGTACCTTTTTTTTCCCTTTCCTTTTAGAGAGAGACAGAGCGCAACCAGAGGAAGGGCAGAGAGAGAGGGAGACACAGAATCCAAAGCAGGCTCCAGGCTCTGAGCTGTCAGCACAGAGCCTGACATAGGGCTCGAACTCACGAGCCATGAGATCACAACCTGAGCCAAAGTCAGATGCTTAACAGATTAAGCCACCCAGGTGCTTGGGATTTTGTCCCTTTAACGTTCACATAACTTGCAGGTTTCTTGAGATTTTATACAAAAATGGTCTCTTACAGGTAGTGACTTTGATATAAGTTTTTAGTAATGGAATTAATTAAAAGTTCATTTGTGGCCTTTGAGAGTGTCGGTAGAGTAGTAAGGCAGAAATCTGAATATAAGAGTTTAATTTCGGTATTGAAGAGTAGAGACTGTATCAGACCATTATTTTGAGTATTTTTTTGATTTGTGAAAAAAAAGAGCATTTGTTAAATTAAGTAAAAGGAGAGTTAAGCAGCATCAGGGATCCAGCAAATCATATATGTACTTATAATATTGACCATCAATACTGCTGTAAAATTTTCGTAGCATTCATAGCTTAGTCCAGAAAGTAAAGAAAACAAATAGGAAATCCAGGATTGCACATTAGAAGGACATGTGGGGCGCCTGGGTGGCGCAGTCGGTTGAGCGTCCGA